CTTTGCTCTCTTCTTCTCAGTTTTTTTACCTCTTCGTTATGTAATCAAGTCTCTCCTTACTTACAGGTCGGAGAGGAGTGAGAAGGACAAGGGCTCCTCCGCTCGTGTTCCGTCAACCGGTGCCCTCTACCCAACCCGCACCAAGAGCTTCTGCAGGCGAGGGCGTAGAAGGTCTGGCCGTTGGTCAGACCACGCCCACGGCCAAAGCTATACGCTTGGAGGTTACTCCTCAAAGGGAGACTCTGGTTCTCGCAGTCCGTTTAACGGGCGAGTCCTCCCTTATCGGTAGTGGAGAGATCCCGTCGAAGAGGCGAAGGGTAGTGTTGGAGGAGGCTCCTTCAATCGAAACGCCTTCGAGGGGCGACCTTGTTTCGATGGCACCTGAGACCGGCGGTGGTGCCAACCTGGCTGCGAAGGGCGGCGCCCGTTGCAGGCGTTCAGGAGGCTATTGTGACGGAGGGGCGGAGCTCCGAGGCTGTTGTTGTCGTTCCGAGCAGGCCATCGTCATCTCGGCCGAACCGCGCCCCATCTTTGGCCAGCGAAAGGCAAAAATGCATCATGGTTGAGGATTATGAATCCGAATCCGATCTCGACCCTGAGGACGTGAGGATGTTCAAGGAGGGCATTACTCGAACTGTGGTAAGGGCGGAAGGCCCTTCCTGTATACTTGAAATTCCGACGGATATCAATGTTGCATGACACGGTGACTTGGTGCCACAGTTTGATCTCTTGTGCTCCGTTGCTGAGAGCGGATCCCTTCAATGGAAAGTGATTCTGATTTTTCACGTGGTGTAGCCCCGATGGCTTTGAGGGTGAGTTCCCTTTTGACTTTTTTTTTGTGACCTTTGTCTTTGCACTGACTCATTCTCTCCTTTCTCCTCTCCCTTTCTTGTTTAGACTTAAATGATGGAGGTCGAGAGTGCTCGTAAGGCTGAGTTGCGGGCCGAGATTTTTCTAAAAATTGTCGAGAAGTATCGGCGGTATCGCAACAGGTGCCGCGAGATGCATGAGCAGCTCAGAGCAGGCACTAGTACCCAGTCCATAAGGGAGGAGTTGGAGAAAAGAGATCAGGAATTTATGCGGTCTATCCGCAGATGCAGTGTGCTCGAGGAGCTGCTCCATTCCAAAGACGAGGAGCTCGAGGTGGGCAAAGGGGTTGTCGCAGAGTGCGAGGACCTTCAGGCGAAGGTGTTATCTTTACAAGTCGAACTTGAGCAAAACGCCACCAGAGTCGAAGCTTTGAGCGCAGAATGGATGGGGAAGTTGGCTGAGCTGGAAAGGAAAGTGGCCGAGATGGAAAAAGCCGAGGATGCTCGAGTGTCGGCTTTGGCGAGAGCGGCAGCGCTGGAGGACACTATTCGCGTCCTCAAATCTGAGCAGGAATTTGAGAGGGCGACGGCCACGCTGAGGGAGGCGCGGCTCGATGAGTGTATTGGTAAAATTGACCGGGAGGCTTTGAGCTTAGGAGACCGAGTTGTGGCTCTCGAGGCCGAGAAGGAGCAACAGCTGGCTCAGGACGAATCTGCCTCTACCGCGGTCCCCCGCCGCTTGTATGAGCTATGGGTCCATGCTGAGGCCCAACGAGATATATACACGGGTTTGTGGGAGGCGGAGAGTGTTCTTGAGGCCGCCTTTAAAGATGCTCGGGCGAAGGCACGAGAGGCTCGTATTTCCTGCGGTTACGACCCTGCGACACCGGAGGCTGGTAAGGGCCTTGAGGTTGAGAATGGGTTTTCTGATGATGAGGACGCTGGAGAGAATGGCGGTGGAGATGACGCCGAGTGAAACTTTGTTGCAGCTTTGTACTTAGTTTTTTTTGTTCCTTTGTCGTTTATTTTTACCTTTTTCTTGAGGGCCTGTTTCGGCCTTTTGTAAGGCGCAGCTGTTGCGCACGTATATTTGAAAAAAATAGTTGCTTCGCCTTATTTGTGTATATTTTGACTTTGCTTTTCCTCCTCTTCCGTTTCTCTTTTTTTTCGCACTTCTCCACGACGAGTCCCTGTCCTCTTAATCGAAAATTCGAATGAGGGTGGACCTGGTTTGCTTGATCCGAGTGAAGTCAAATCTCGCTGTGTGAGTTTGTATGAAGTCACTTTGCCTCGGCAAGTTCGAGCGAGGTTGACTTCCGATTTGCCACTTAGGCGGAATCAACCTTGATTTGTGTATTCGAACGAGGTTGAAGTTAGACTTGCCAACTCGGGCGAAATTAGTTTTGACTTATATGTTCGAACGAGGTCGAATTTCTTTCATTTAGGGATGGCTGATGGTCGTAGGGGTGTTAATTCGAGCGAGGTCAAAAGTATAACCCATTGTTAATTCGAGCGAGGTCGAATTTTTCTATTGGCGATGACCGATGGCTGTAGGGGTGTTAATTCTAGCGGTCGAAATTGTAACCTGTTGTGAATTCGAGCGAGGTCAAAATTTTCTTTTGGCGATGGCCGATGGCCGTAGGAGTGTTAATTCGAGCGAGGTTGAAATTGTAACCCGTGGTGAATTCGAGCGAGGTCGAATTTTTCTCTTTGGCGATGTCCGACGGCCGTAGGGGTTTCGAGCAAGGTCGAAATTGTAACCCGTTGTGAATTCGAGCAAGGTCGAATTTTTCTCTTTTGGCGATGGCCGATGGCCGTAGGGGTGTTAATTCGAGCAAGGTCAAAATTGTAACCCGTTGTGAATTCGAGCGAGGCCAAATTTTTCTCTTTTGGCAATGGCCAATGGCCGTACTTCTTTCTTTTGTTGGAGAATGTTACTCGTTGCCGTATTGTTTAAGCATGTGTCAGGGTGAGTCCCGGTTTGCTTGATTTTCGCTTTTATTGGAGAGTACTGTACGTTTCATGGGCCCATCGCTCAGCCCCTGGTTCTGGAGATTGTTTCTTAATAACGCCAGCCTGCTCTGAGCCGTTTCCGTCATTTGTGGTATGGTGCGGCTTATAGGGCTTTGCTCGGTCATTGCTTGCGAGATGGTATGGTACTAAACATTTTCCTGGTATGCTTGGTGGCGTTCATTCCTTGTTCGTATTCCTGTGAGAATGCTCGTGTTCATGTTCTGAACCAAAAAGAGAGCGTGATAAGTTAATCCCAAACGAAATTGCCCATCCTTGGCTTGGTAAGCCGGCAAAAAAGGGGGAAGAAGCATTGTGGGGTCGCTCGCTTCGCCTCGTGCTCGGATGGCGGTTTCAGATTTGGCAGTCGTGTTTGGCTCAGTTGTTAGCTGCGTCCAAGCTTCTCGTGGGCTGGGCTTACCTTGCTCGTTGGGATATCGAGATCGAGTCCCCATATGCGCAAACAATAAGGGAAACATGTCATACTTTGCTCACAGATCGCATAATGCGTGTGGGTACGAAAATAATGAAGGATACGCCCGTCATTTCAAAGAATCACACAGTAGGCTATCGTCCCTTCCCAAGAGGTGGGAGTACGGGCCGATATATAAGGTGAATATGTCAAATAGAATTGTGGTCATGCTGAGTGCGCAGTGATCATGACCTTACTTTAAACATGCATACGACGTGCCAAACCCATCGCTACAAATGAGGCATGGGTTGCACATAGACATTGAACATAATTTCGATATCAAGTAGAGATCTGACCTAGATTGGTTCGGTTATCCCACAAGCTTATCTACCACTTTTTCGAATTGGTGTTTAGACCGAGATGGTGTTGCTATGACAGCCTGGAGGTGGTAATTGGTTGGTTTTAGATCTAAAGGAAACTAAAAATTTGGCTAAGAAATCCCCACAGACGGCGCCAAATTGTTTGACCAAAATGTGTTAAGCATTTTGCTAAACTAATTAATGAAGAAAATAGAGGATAAATTCTAGACAAGGATAATTAACTCTAGATCTAAGTGCAATGGATAAAAGAATTAGATATGACAAAGCTCGTAGCTCGATTTAAGATCATCAAAAGACATCAGGTATGATAATAAACTTACATCTTTGGAGTATCGTTCAGTATTGTAAGAGCAAAGAAGGAAACGGAGGAATGCCATTGATGACTATGAGATCTACATTTATTGATTTAGCAATCATAATTACAGAGATGTGTTAAACCCTTTTCTTGGTCTTCCGTTCTTCTCCTTTTTTTTCTCTCTGAGGGAATCCCCCCTCTCCTTTTGTCTCCTTGCCCCATATATATATTATCAGTATTCTCTTTTGTCCATCGGTCCTTAACCAGAGTGTCTTCGTCTCCTTACTGTCCTCCACGTCGCCTCCCTTAAATATTACGATATCCACCCCGCCATACAGGCTTTTCGAGGGCTCCATCTTCGGCTGCGGCCGAGGTCTTCGTCGTTATTACGCCATATGGGTACGACCACGTCTTAGTCGACCTCCTTCCATTCCTGTTAACGTCAATCCATATACCGTCAGATTTTGACCTATACACACCCCAAATTTTCAAAAATAACTCCACGCACACGCTCAAGTAATGTATTGCACATCCAAAAACTTGTCAGCAGTGTGTCCTAATTGACACAATTTATCCTCACTTTAGGCATTGAATAGATACTACCCTTAATTTAATTGTCAAAAAGGAAGAAAAAAAAAATACTAAGCACTTGCGGAGAGCTGCCTATCTATTCAGCCTAATTTAAGGTAGTATCATTCTTTCTGAAGATGCACCATAATGTTACAGTCAGGGGAGTATACATCATATTGCATGCAGTGTCATAAGATATCGTTGCGCTGAATCTTTTTATTAGATATGTGTAAAAAAATAAAAATATTAAGGATGAATATAAAAATAAAATCGCTTATTATTATTGTAATTTATTCATTAATCCATTTCATATTGTGATACCCCTTATTAAATATCCCGAGTACATCACTGGTTACAGCCGTCTGACAGTAAAGTATCTGTAACGTTTGTGTGTCCTGGTAATAATGACAACTTCGATTTGAGCAAGTTATTTGGAAATTGGAACCTAAAACATAATAATGACCAAATTGAACATTCACACTTCAACAGAAAACCTCTGAAAGAGTAATCATACACTCGTAAGATCTTAAGAAATCATATTACATTTGTTCCTCAGTCACTTTACACAAACAAAAACTATTCATTCCTGGACGGAAGTTGTCAAGTGATGTACTAACAACAGTACTCTGTTAGTCCGTTTGTAAAATCCAAAATACTGATATTAGCAAAGGGAACACTACAAAGCCTCTGTATCTAGTAAAATTTAAGTTCCCGCTATCTATTTAGTTTCAAAATGATGATTTATTCAAATACTCCATCTGTTCAGTTCCTCAGAAGAGGCTCTTGACATATCTTCATTTGCAGATCTTGATAATGACATCGAACAGTCTGCCGAAGAGCCAAATTAAGAATCAATATTAGTCGAATATAGTACAGATTAAACCAAAAAAAGGATTAATTAAGGATAAGAACAGAATATTTTTTGACAAACAGGGGATTCACCTTTTGCGGCTGAGCTGTAGCATCTCTTGCAATGAAGAATAGCACTTTGGATTCCGTCATTTTGCTCCAGCAGTGAATCGTCTCTCCGGTTCATCGGCGACGTTGAAACTCCGGCAACGGATGCCATCGACCGGCTCTTCCTTAGCTGTTTACGTACAACTCCAAGTACAGCAACTCGGTTCCCCTGTTTTCCCTCCTCTGATGATTTTCTGGGTAAGCTCAATGATTGCATTGACGGAGAAGACAATTGACTTGCTCTTGAAACATTGTCTGATATTTTTATATTGCCGGTGTACCTTTTGGAAGCTCTGGAGTATAGAGGCTTCATTAACTTCAAATATTTGGGCATATCTTGCTTTGATGAGTCTTTAACTGAAGCATTTTCTTCTTCTTTTTGAACTTGGTTTCCTTTTAAACTTTTGCTGTATCTGAAAGAAATACAGCTGGCTGGAACCTCCTCCACCTTGCATTTCATCGTAAACCGATTGCTCTGTGCTTTAGGGGAGAGTTTCTGGTCTTGCATTTTCGGACTTGCTGCAGAAGAATCGTCAACCCCTACTTTCTCCGGCTTTGACTTCCTGAAGCCCAAGAAGCAGACCCGAAATTTGGGAGCTGATCTGAGTATAGAAGTCGGAGAAAGAGGCTTGGAGTTTGAGTCAATTGGAAAAGCTTTTGGTTTCAAAAACACATCTTTAGGTGACTCGGGTAAATTTTTTTCAGAAACGGATTTGGTGTTGTTGTTGTTGTTTTCTTCAGGGTGTCCTGTGAATACCAAATCGAAGAACGAGTCATCGTCGTCATTGGTTTTTTCATCAGTCTCCAGTGCTCGGTTGTGTAAGTAGTCGACGAAATTATTAACAGAATCAAGATCAGAAACGATATCTCTAACGGCGGCAGTGCGCCAGAATTTGAGTATGTTAAAAGCTTCCATGGATTTGGAACAGAGGTTTTTTGTAAGAGAAAGACAAGTGAGCAATGAGGAAATGTGCAAGAAGAATGAACGGACAAATAGAGCTAAAATATGGTGCTTTATATATAGTGAGAATGGAGTTTTGTGAAAGCAGAGAGTTGATGTAAGCTTCTCTACTTTTTGAAATAAAAAGAGAAGAAAGACTGAAGAGCAATGCAAAAATTTGTTGTTATCGTCATGTGAGGAGCAGAGTTTCAGTTAATTAGAAAAGCAGATACTCCCCTACTACAATTCTCGTGCGTCCGCGTATGCACAATTACAGACTATGGACTAGAGGTTAATTTTACCAAGTAAAAGTCTGAAATTTGGGTAACCTCCAATAAATATCAGAAACTTTACTTTTGATTTTTACAGCCTTTTACTGGTCCAAGACTCTCAACGTTCCCTATTCCAAGATTGAAAGTCTCAGTTTACCTAATAAATAATATAGTGCTTAATTAAATTCACAGAAAAAACTAACTTTATGATTACTAATTATGAGCCTGAAGCCCTGAAGTATAGGTCACTGGCTGGTGCAATAACCCATGGTCTTAATCTTGAACTACATGTTAAAATGGGGTATTGTCACTTTTAGTCCTCGACGGAAACTATTTATATTCTGTAGTCAAAAAAAATATATAAAATTTGTATAATTTATGTATATAATATACAGAATATATATATATATATATATATATATATATATATACATATTCTGTATGTTTATTAGATTATATAAATACTTCAGTTCATGGGATGATTGCCATAAGTATGTTTATTAGATTATTTAAATACAAATTAGAAATAATTACGTAAGTTAGTAGACAATAATTTATGAATATTTCCACGTACGGGAAGTTTTAAGGTCACACTTAGTGATTCTTTTCATGATAGTTCTGTTATTTTCACGTTTATTGTTTCCAAAATTTATCATTTAGATACTGTTGACAATCTAATTATTTTATAGTAGTAATACACTATGAAAGAATAAGGTGATTATTTATCTAGTATGTTAGAAAGCTTTTTCAAAAACTTCAGCTTATATAGTGCTGAAGTTTTCACAAATGAACTAAATAACTTCAACATCTTCTGGTGAAGTTTTTTGAAAAAGCTTTATGACAAAACTAATGAATCCAGAACAAAAAAACTTCAGGTTATTTAGTGCTGAAGTTTTTACAAATGAACTAAATAACTTCAGCATCACAAAACTTCAGCTACTAGAATACTTAAGTTCAGCAATTACAAATAAAAACTTCAGCACTAGAATGCTTAAGTTCAGCAATTACAAACAAAAACATCAGCACACTTGGTTTAGCAATTTTGCTACTTCAGGCCCGTCTATTAGAATGCTGAAGTTTGCGTGATTGCCTTTGCTACTTCAGGGCCGTATGCTGAAGTTACACGAAAAAGTGGGTACGTTTGCAATTTATTTTTGCAAAGCGAATACAAGTTAAAACGTGACCCAAAAAGCGAATATAGATGCAAATGCCCTAAAGTTATTAGGTCAGGTCTATTCATAATGAGTGTTAATTGGCCCATTAATCTATAGTCCTCCTCCTTAAACCCTAATTATGTCTTTTCAACACTATTACTGGTGTTGAAAAGACACACTTTTCAATTCTAGAGGATGATGGACAGAGTTTATAAAGAAAATTCTTTGTATCTCTAAGGGGATATTTAGGTTGTGGAAAACTAAGGTGTTCTTCTGTTTTTTGATAATTTTTTATCGATCATGACTTAAGCGGTGGTTGTTGCAGATCCTCTTTCGCACAGAAGAAACCGTTTAGTATCCTAATTAATCTAGTGCTATTTACAATTGAAATACACTACATAAATAACTTCAGATGCGTAAAATTTTATCCGTTTTTTTACCGTGGCAGAAGTGAAAATCAGGTACAACAAGAGACAAATTAAAGAGAATGAAAAGAGGAATAGCATTTCGAGTAAAAGGGATTGAACACAATTAGGGACAGAGAGGGTCCGAGGACGAGAGAAACTTCCAAAAGAAAAGACTAGTAAAAGGGGAAGAAGTAAGTAATGTCATTGTTTTTCTGAGGGAATAGTCTCATCTTTTTTCTTTTCTTTCACTACATGTTAAGAAGTATTATAAACTCTGACATTTGGCTCTTTGAATTCTGCAAATTCGAGGACTTAACGGTGGGCACGCTCGTTGCTAGTCTTGGAGCTTTTACCCTCTCTTTTTCTTTTGAACAAGTTAAGTCAGATGGGCTCGTTGCATTAAAGTTTGACTTGTTTCTTTCAAAAACTCTTTGTACTAGTACTTATACAAAAGCTAAAGAGGAAAAATTAGATACCTTAAAAATGTAATTGTAAAGTGTTAAAGAACGTGAAAAGCAGAAAAAAGAAAAGAAATAAAGTGAGCTACAAGTTATATAGAAGGAAGAGTGGGTTTGCAAATGTTTCTTTCTTTTTGACCAAGTGTGACTACTTTCTTTCTTCATAGCTAATCAAAGCTCTAAAGTCTAATAATATATATATATATATAGCTATTAATTTGTGTTTGTGAAGCTAAGTCCACGCAAAACCCAACCTTATCCACAAGAGGATTGTAAAATTGTAGGCTATTATTGAACGAATGTCTAGCAAATTAAAACAAAAGAACGCCATTCAGAATAAATGGCTCCCCACTATCAGAGCAAGTGAATTCCCTAATGTCCCATGTCTTGCGTGAGCAGTTTCGGCTCAGTTATTAAAAAATTACTACTTATTCCTAAACCACACGTAGAATATTAACTTGAGGGGGTCCAGTGTAGCAATTTGTTTGGACATGGGAAATTATGAGTACAAAAGCAAATTGGGTACCCGTTTTCAATCCAATTGGATACCAGTACATATCTTTTTAGGGGCAGAGCAACAATATTAGCTATCAGTTCGAACGAATCCAATAGCTTTTGCTTAAATATTGTATTTGTATCAAGAAATTTATTGAATATATATAAAAATTTCTCAAACTCAAAAATTAAAACAAGCTGTAAATTCGTTGGCAGATTCAACATCGGTAAATTTTAAATCTTGGCTCCACTTCTGTCGTTAGCTCATTAATGTCTCATAAATTAGCTTTATTCGGACCTCATACCATATAGTGGTTGCACGAGCAACAAATGATCCAAGCTGTTCCGGTTGGTTTCATGTTATGACCGAAACCTAATAAAGTCTTCTATTGTGCTCTCTTTCTTGTTACACCTTAGTCAATTAAATTGAAAAGCTCTTTACTATTTAAATTGAAAGAACATATAGGAGTATCAAGCAAATAAAATTTTGGCCCTTTAAACCTTACAGAGCTGAAAATTAATTAGGAGACGACAAGAGACAAAACAGTAATAAAAGAATAAAAAAGGAGTAGTACTTGGAATAAAAGGGATTGAACGGATTTTAGGGCAGAGAAGCTGTGAGGAGATGAGAGGAGGATGGTGACAATAAACTTCCAAAAAGCAAAGGAAAAAAAGATCCAAAAACAAAATATTCCAGAAAAGGGGTAGACGTACGTAAGTCATGTCTTTGTTTTTCTGAGAGGGACTCTCACCTTTCTCTTTTATTCTCTTTTCACTCTGTCTTATTATAGATTTTGACGGGTCGTAGACCAAGACACTTGGCTTCTTGTTATAGATTTTAGGGTTTAGGGATTTAAGGGATCCTTTGGTATGGTGCATAAGAATAATGCAGAAATATTAGTAATGCTAATATTAGTTATGCATGCATTAGTTATGCTGACAATATTTCTTATTCATTATTTGGTTTGATGTATTAAATCATTGCACAATTTCAAAGAAAATTATTTGTTTACAAAAATACCCTCAAAACGAATTCATCACTCTATCTTTTTAAGAAAAACATATGTTGAGAAATATTTTTATATGAAAAAAGTTTTAAGAAAATCATTTGATTCATCTACCTATATTGTAGTATAGAACTGAATATTAAAAAATAAAATATGTTAAGCATTTATTTATTTACTAGGGATATAGTTTTATTCTCACTATTTGGATTATTTCAAACTTGTATTAATATAATAGCATATTTAATTAAGCATAAATTTTGTTAAGGACAATCTTAACTAAGCTAATGCATGCATTAAAACCCATTGCATTATTAATACCATGGTTTTCTATGCATTAGTTATGTATAGGATAATACCAAATATGGTGTATAACTAATGCATAGGTTCAAAATGTGTACCAAACAAGACATTATTAATACAAAAAACTAATGCATACATTATTTTATCTAATACATCCTACCAAACGACCCCTAAGAGTCATAATTAAACAAAAGATAATGATACACTATCATCTTTGTGCAAAATCCTCATATTTCGTTTGGAGAAGACTATCAAAAGCTAAACATGAAATATTGGTTGCATAAAAATGTAACTACGAAATGACAAAGAATTATTGTGTGAGAGAAAGAAATGTAGAAACGAAATAACATAACCAGCATGTAAAGAAGGAAACGGTGGGTTTGCAAATGTTACTTTCTTTGGACCAAAAGAGACATCCTTGTTACTCGCTCCATTTCAATATATGTGAATTTATTTGACTAGATGTAAAATTTAAAAAAAGAAAGAATACTTTTGTACTTGTGTTGTAAAATGAAATACATATATTTTGTGTGGCAAAAAATCATTGCATAAAGATAAATTATTTCGAAATAAAGTGATTATTCTTTTTGACACATGCTAATAAATAAATAGATTCACAAAATTAAAATGAAAGGAGTATCAATTTATAGCTTTATGTGTTAAAATGTGAAATTTGTATATACAATCCAGCTGTTAGAAGTAAATTGCATTTGCTTATTTTTCGTTTTTAACAGAAAGACAAACACGAATAATAAATGTGAACTGATAGCGTAGAATAGACGATAAATAATTTTCCACAATCAATCATAATACAATGATTATAATATTTTTACACCCTCTCTTTACACAACTTAACTTTTAATCTATAATTGAAGTCTAAACTATATACTACTATAATTTGTTTGTGAATCAAAGTCCGGGCAAATTAAGCCCACCATTATCCACAAGAACATTGTAATTTTGTAGGCTACTACTATTATTAGATCTGTCTGGTGAAAACAGGATAATGCCATAGAGAAATCAATGGCTCCCCACTATAACAACAAACATCAGTAAAATCCATATGTTAAGTTTCATGTCTTGTACGGCGGTTGCTGCTCAGTTATTATAAAATGATTAGTCCAATGTAGGATTCTATGGCCACCTTGTTGAG